GAAAAATACTGTATATAGTTAATACCAAATTTCATAAAAACTAGTTCAACTGAACTATACAGGCATATTTTTTTTCTAATTCTTATTATAATGTGGTCTTCAAATTATTTAAAGGCAATTCTGAGGATTTGAGAGAAAGATCATAGAAATAAGTTGGATTATTTAAGTAAACAACAGGTAGCAGCTAACATGTTATATTTTCTGTATTAGTATCAATTGCGTATTTGTAAACAAATTGATTTCTGTTGTTGGTATAAAAACAAAAACAAAAATATTATTCTGTTATGCTTGGTCACATTTTCAAAGAGCCACTGCAGAGGGACCAAAGAGCCACATGTGGCCCCAGATCTGCAGGTTGCAGACCCCTGATCTAGGTATTGATCCAGAGTGATTAAAACTTTGTAACAGGATTTTTTCCACTTTTAGATGATTTATTTAAAGTTCACAAGCTGAAACCAAACCTGAAGTGGCGACAGGCCTTAGAGATGTACCTGAAGACAATGCCTCCATACTTCCTCCTGGTAAACTATCACTCTTCCATTTAAGCTGCCTTTTTAATACTAACCAACCTAAAATCCCTCCATTGTTTTTGCCAGCCCTTAAAAAAGGCATTACGAATGATGGGAGCACCAAACCTGATAGCAGACACCCTGGACTGTGGTCTGAGTTACAGCGTCATCTCCTACCTGAAGAAGCTCAGCCAGCAGGTAAATGCTGCTCACACAGGTTGTCTCATCATTTCACAAACAAGAGGAAAAATGTATGTTTTTCTATACTCTAATGGGATGACAGGATTCAATTACTGTGATATAAAATAAAATTAGTTAGTGGTGTGGTGAGGAAAAAACAAGGTGAAAGAGACATTTAAGCTTCTACTACTTTTTTGGTATTCAGCCTATCTTATGTTTATAAAGGTAAAGGTTCCTCGACTCATTGTTGTGTTTAATATGGCAGCAGCTTAACGGTTCTTTAAGAAGTAACCACTGAACAGAAGTGTGCAGAGAGGACTCTGCAGCTCCTCTAAATTAGCATCCCTATCTGTCTGAACTGTTGGTTTAAATGAGAATAGTTTGGAAAAAAACTTCATTATATTTGTAAAACACAGTGTGTCATGGTCTGGTTGCCAACATCTGATGTTGTTGCATAATGTTTGATCTAAACATAAAAATTAAAAACATTGAAAGTTTTCATGTTTACCAAGTATGCAACCCCTCCAAAACAATATTTTAAGTTTATAATGTTTATAATTTTTTTCTTTTGCTGTTTATTTTACTTGGACTGAAGGCAAAAATCGAGTCAGACCGTCTAATTGTCTCCGTGGGCAAAAAGCCCCCTCAAGAAACTGGCATAAAGGTGAAGAACCACTCCAGTTTGCTCTCTCTGGCCCATCGGCGGGACTTCAAACAGCTCCTGCAGGGAATCACCGGGGAGGGGCCCCTTCGCCTAGCCGACATCAACTTTAAAGAGTTCGCCGGCTTTCAGATCGCTCTTCTCAACAAGGTAGCTGTAAGGCGGAAGTTCTGTCTTTACAGGGTGTTTTTTTCCTCTGATCCTGGATGTTCATGTGCTCGCAGGACGTAAAACCTCAAACCTACCGGAACGCCTACGACATCCCAAGACGAAATCTTCTCGACCAGCTCACCCGAATGCGCTCCAATTTGCTGCGGACATCTTTAAAACTAATCCGGGGCCAAGATGAAGGTATATTTATGTGCTGGATGAAAACATAACTATGCATTCACATTATACTTAACTGAAATACCAGTCTAATTCAAAACCCCACTTTTAGATTCAAACTGTGAAGATTGAGTTCTGTTTGTTGTTTTTCATTAGATTCTCTGCACAGCATTCCAGTGGCTCAGATGGGAAACTACCAGGAGTACCTAAAAATGATGCCGTCTCCTTTGAGAGAAATCGACCCTGATCAACCCAAAAGGCTGCACACGTTTGGGAATCCTTTCAAGCAAGATAAAAAGGTAGAGGTTGATCCTGTGAAACAACTGATCCGTGCTGTTCTCAGTGCGATACAAACGTACTCACCCCCTGACTTCTCTCTGTTCTGTTGCTTTACAGCCTGGAATTTAAATGGCATTTTGGGAGGCTTGTAATTTGAATTTACTTCATTTTAATTTAGGCAACATAACAACCCCTTATTTTTGGGTTTTTTGACTCCCATCACTATTCAGATACTGAACCTTCATGGCCTCTGATGTGTCCCATCAGTCTGAATGTGATCTAAAGCACTGATTAGTTTAGTGGAGAGACAGTACAACTATATTTCAGCAATAGGGCTGCACAATATATCGAAAATTTATCATCATCACGATAATAGACTATGCGGGTGGGGCGGCTGTGGCGGAGTGGTTAGGGGAGTCGTCCTGGAACCAGAAGGTCGCTGGTTCGATCCCCCGTCCAGCCGTCTCAGTTGTTGTGTCCTTGGGCAAGACACTTCACCCAACTTGCCTACTGATGGTGGTCAGAGGGTCCGGTGGCGCCGATGCATGGCAGCCCCACCTCTGTCAGTGTGCCCCAGGGCAGCTGTGGCTACAGTGTAGTTTGCCATCATCAGTGTGTGAATGTGAGTGTGAATGGGTGAATGTCTGTTAGTGTAAAGCACTTTGGGGTCCGGAGGGACTTGAAAAGCACTCTATAAGTTCAGTACCATTACCATTTACCATGCAATATGCATATCGCAACAACTGCATAAACTGCAATAAATGGTTGACTCAAAAATTTGCATTTATGCATTTTGCCATTCAGATGGAAGCTTGAAGTATTTCACCAGTCGAATGAAGCCCTTTATGTTTTTGGTCAACTGGATGGATCTCTTCATATTTAAAAAAAATTCAGGCTGAAATGGAAATGATTAGTTGTTTTCTTGGCTTTGAACACAAAGCAGAAAGATATCAACACTACATGCTTATGTATTTGTGCATTTATCACAAGTCATATTGTCATTGCAATATTATGCACTGTTATCGCACATCGCAGATTTTCCTAATATCGTGCAGCCCTATTCAGCAGACCAGGGCTTAGACTGGACCTTTCCATATTTAAAACCCTGGAGTGTTGCTTCAGTGGTGTGTTCAGGATCATTGTCCTGCTGGAAGGTGCTCCGCGTGATTTATTTTACAACCCTCTGTGTTTTAACATAAACAGCTGGAGTGTCCAGATCAAGATTTCTTATTTTCAATATTGATCCGAGTCATTTGATCTGTGTAACAAAACATTTACACTGCAGGTCTTCATGCTCAATTAAAATTAATTTTTCACATTATAGTTTGATGCAACTCAAGCTGTATTTTCTCAAACCTAACCTCCAGGGGATGATGATCGATGAGGCAGATGAGTTTGTAGCAGGACCTCAGAACAAGAAAAGAGGAAGTTCCAGTGATTCCAACTTGGGCGGTACGATGAAGCGAAGGCGGAGCATGTCGCCGCTGCTGCGCCGGCCGCAGACTCCACCAGGAAGCAACAACCACGTGGTTTTAGGAAAGAGTCTGGCGGGGGTTCAGGGGCAGGCTCTCCTCAGATCCTCTCCACAACACAAAGGTAACACTGAGGAGCACAAAGTTTTCTGATAAAACGTTGGTGTGGACTGTAGTTCTGAGTTATTCTTCATTTCATCATCAGGAGTTGGCAACAACACGGTCGTCACTGAGAGCAATGGCAACAGCGTCCCCGGGCTCGACTCTGCCGAGCTCTGGCCCACCGAGTCGGAGGCGATGAGTCCGTCTCCTCTGAGTTTAGAGGAGAAGGTCGGAATGGAGGGAGTGGTCGGCGAGGAGGACGTCAGCACGGAGGAGGACAAGGAGGTGGAGGATCACCTGGAGGAACTGCTGGAGGAGAAACACAGCTGTGAGCGTCTGAGCCCACAGAGTGAGGTGGACAGCTCTGACGCTGACCCTGCAGAACTGGAGGCCATATTTATAGCTCCATTAGACGGATGTCAGGCAGAACTGCGGGGCAGAGTCATCAAGGAGGTCCGCAAACCTGGACGAAGTGAGTAGGAGCTGGATGTTTGTCAATATTCATCAGTATTTTACTAAGTAAACATGTATTTTTGTTTTCCTCAGACTATGAAGCAATACTGAGTCTCCTGCAGCAGGTGAAAGGATCAGTAAATGTGCAGAAGTACTTCATCCAACATGCTATCAAAGAAGCTGTGAGGTAAGAAACATTTTCTCTTTTTGTGCATCACTAAACCTTTTAACGTAGATTTATCTACTAAAAGTGCAAATATTTTAGGAGTTATGGGTTCTGTCAGTATCTTTCTTTTTTTAAACATATATTTATTGATTTTAACAAAAAAAGACAGATACATATATTCACTCATACATACTTAAATTATAAACCCAGACATAACAAACGAAATAGACATATGTATAAGGGAAGGAGAATAATAATAATAAAAAATAAAATAAGTTAGCAGCAAACCTTCAATAGACCAACCAACATAAACATCAGTTTAACTCATCATATGACCTTATAATAAATCCTTTTTCCA